ATATAGAGTTTTTATTTCTCTCAATATTAGTTCCGGCACCTAAACATCCTAGAAGGAGTTTGGATGTTTTCCTTCAACCATTGATAGAAGAGTTGAAAGAACTTTGGAGTATTGGGGTAGAGGCATATGACGTGTCAATAAAGCAAAATTTTTTGCTTCGTGTCGTACTGATGTGGACAATTAGTAATTTTCCAGCATATTCGATGTTGTCTGGTTGGACAACGCATGGTCGTCTAGCTTGTCCGTATTGTATGGATGAGACCGATGTATTTTGGTTGCCGAACGGGAGAAAAACGAGTTGGTTTGATTGTCATCGCCGTTTCTTACCAAGAAATCATGCAATGCGCCGGAACAAGAAGAATTTTCGTAAGAATCGGGTGGTAAGTGATTCTAGTCCGCTTGAACTGAGAGAGATGAAATATTATTCGAACGGATCGAAGATTGTGTGAGATCACATGGGTTAGGGGTTACTGCAGAAGTCGGTGGAAATGGTCATTTGTCGATTGAAGGATACGGTGAATATCATAATTGGCACAAAAAAGTATATTTTGGGAATTGCCATACTGGAGATATCACAAGTTGCGACCAATCTTGATGTCATGCATATTGAGAAGAACTTTTTCGATAACATCATAAACACGGTGTTGAATGTACCCCAAAAGTCGGGGACAATCTAAACTCAAGGAAGGATATAAAATCAATTTGTTTGAGGAAAGAACTAGAACTGACACATGATGCGAATGCACTTGTTCCAGTTTTTCGGGTATTTGGTGAAGCGCAAAAGAATTTTTTCCGGTGGTTAAAGAATGATGTGAAATTTTCCGATGGTTACTCTTGAAATCTGGCTCGATGTGTTGATATTGCAGGGAATAAATTAACGGGTATGAAAAGTAATGATTGTCATGTGTTTATGCAATGGCTAGCATTTGCAGAACTACTTCCACAACATGTACACGAGAATCTATCAGGTATGGTCGATATGTGTTTTTTAAGCTTACTTGTTTTTAAGTATGTGAATATATATATATATATATATATATATATAAATTTGATATATACGTGGTTATGTTTGTGCAGGGATCAGCTCATTTTTTCGGGTGATTTGCAGTCGGATGCTTAAACTTGAAGATATCATCATGCTAAAACAAAACATAGTTCTGGTACTTTGCAATCTGGAAAAAATATTTCCACCGTCATTTTTTGATGTGATGGAACATTTACCAATCTATCTATCACGAGAAGCAGAACTTGGTGGACCAGTTCAATTTCGGTACGTACGTTATAATTAATGTGTATTGTTTAATTAATATAGGACTTATATACATACTTATTTATATAACTAATGATTGTTTAATCATATATTTTGTTTAGATGGATGTACCTGTTTGAAAGATTTATGTGCCATTTGAAGAAAAAGGCAAAATAGAAAGTCTTTGTTGAAGGATCAATCGCTGAACAATATATCAATGAGAAAATATCATTCTTTACCTCATATTATTTTCAAGATCATGTGATAGCAAAGAGCAGAGGGACAAGAACATCATTCCATTGCGTGATGGCCCTAGTTATCCGACGAATGTACATATCCCCCATATATTTTACAGAAAAGGAAGATGTGGTGGTAAGGCTAGCGATGCCTATTTGTCTGAAAAACACTACCATGTGGTACATACTTTTGTATTGTTGAATTGTGAAGAAGTTCTACCTTTTGAAAGGTTCGTTAATTTATACATTTAATTATTTCTTCCTAAACTATTTTTAAATTATTCCGTTTACAATTAATTAATTTACATGTTTTGCAGGATTTTTGATGAACAAGTATACAACATATACGGTGACATAAGTGACGAGGAGTTGACAAAAATAAAAGAAAAAGGGTTTGCTACATGGTTAAAAGAATATGTAAGAGTTTTGTATAAAGTTTAAAAACAACTATTTTTAAAAATAGCATGATCGATCAAGTATATATTGATATTTAAGCAACCTGACTTTTTCGTTGCAGATTAGAACATCACCAGAAGAACATCCATTGTGGTTGCATGAGCTAGTTCAAGGACCCATTTGTCGTGTTACATGTTGACCTATATTTTTTTACCAGAGGTTTCGTTTTCCACACACAGGAACACGCCCAACATCGTTCAACACATAATTTTGGTGTTTGTGTGAAAGGGTCAGAATATTGTGCATCTGATAATGAACTCGATTTTTACGGATTACTCAGGAGATTTTTGAACTCCAATATGCTGGTCATTTTGGACTCAAAGTGATGATGTTCAGGTGTGATTGGTTTGATCCGACACGAAATCGAGGGATCAGAGTCAACAAAACAGGTGTTTTTGACATATGACACACGTCGATATGGAAAATATGATCCTTTTATATTGGCTTCTCAAGCAGATCAAGTGTGTTACATCCCTTTTCCGAAGAAAATTACAAGAAGGTCAGACATTGATTGGCGAGCTGTCGTGAAAATCAACACCAGGGGAACTATTATTCAGGCAGAAAATGCTGAACAAGTACCGCTTCAAGATGTTGATCACGACGTTATTCAATTTGAAGAAACGATTGAGGTTGGAAGGTTAATAGCCGAAGAAGGAATACTTGAAGAACTTGAAGACAATAATGATGAAGAGAAGGACAATACCGATGACTCAGATGAAAAAACAACAGGAAGTTCTGAATATGGTTCATTTGATTAATAAGAACTTTGTTTATACCTAAAATAACGATTAGTAATTCAATCTCATTTTATTTGTAATGAATTTTTCTAATTTTTTTTAATTTATTGAATTACATTGCGACAGAATTTGCCGGTCGCAACGTTGTCGTAACTGGCAACCGAAATAATCTGTCGGTGATTAGTCGTAACTAGACGGCGTCGTCACTTGCCACGTGTCACGACCGCAAATCATGCAGTGTTTTCGATATTTTCAACATTGCGACAGATATCTCTGTCGCAATGTACGTAAATTCTGTCGCCAAATCCACGCCTATCCCGCTTTTTGGCGTAACGACGGTTGGCGACCGAATTCATCTGTCGCAATGCTCTTAAAATCCCGCCTTTTTTTCGTACCGACGGATTGCGACAGATTTAATTGATCGCAATGCTCTTAAAATTATCGTGAATCGTCTTCTTCCCCTCTCTCCGAAAACTTAGACAAATTTTCGTTTCGTCGCCTCCTCCGCCGCAACCTTCGTCCGCCGCGAGTGAACTCCATTCCCAAGTATGTTTCTGATCCCTTTCTTCGTATTTTCGCTAGTTTCGTTCGCTTTTCGAAAATCGGATGGTTGATAATCCGAAAATCGAACGCGCGAGATACAGTTTCCGATCTCTCGCGCCGCCACTGCACCGCCACTGCTCCGATCTCTCGCACCGCCACGACACCGCGACCGAACTAATCCGAGGTTTGGATTTCAGATTTTTCGGTTTTTTTTGTCGATTTCGGATTCAGTTTCCGTCGTTTGGTCAATTTCGGATTTGGGTTTAATTTAGGGTTTAGGATTATTTTAGGGTTTAGGTTTAATTTAGGGTTTAGGTTTAATTTAGGATTTAGGGTTATTTTAGGGGTTTGGGTTATTTTAGGGTTTAATTTAGGGTTTAGGGTTATTTTAGGGTTTAAGGTTTAATTTAGGGTTTAGGGTTTAGGTTATTTTAGGGGTTTGGGTTATTTTAGGGTTTAATTTAGGGTTTATGATTTATTTTAGGGTTTAGGTTTAATTTAGGGTTTAGGGTTTAGGGTTCAGCGTTTAGGGTTAATTTGGGGTTTTGGAGTTTGGGTTATTTTAGGGTTTAATTTAGGGTTTATGATTTATTTTAGGGTTTAGGTTTAATTTGGGGTTTTGGGGTTTGGAGTTTGGGGTTTAGGGTTTAGGGTCTAAGGTTTAGGGTTTTGTGGTTCGGGTTCTGGGTTTAGGGTTTACGGGTTTTCATTATTATGTTTTGTTATGTGTAACTTGTAGATGAGTCAATCCCATTCTAGTGGTCGTGCCGGTAGCGGAGTCCGATCCCGATTACGTGGGATCAGATCATCTAGATCACCATCTGTCCATCAGGATCAGGTTGTAGTCGAGCCTCCTCGACTAGATGTACCTTTCACGGGTGCGGCTTCACCGAAATTCGTGAATGAAGGTACATCTAGTCACGGTGCATCGCCATCGTTGCCGGAGATTATAGCATCTGCAGAACGTCGTCTCCAACCTCGTCTCGATCCGGATCACTCCCCCGGTTCTATTTGGTAGGTGTTTTAATGCATATAATAAATATTTATTTTTATTTCTTTTAAATTAATGTTATGAATCTAATTTTTGCAGGTTTGATCGTAGCAATGAAGTGATTACGATCGTCGTCAGCATCTTTCAGTCGGACTTCAAAAGGACCGTGGCGGAGTCTCATCCTGTCCCTCCATCAGATCTGCAACGTTGGTTCGGGACTTTTGCGGTAAGAATTTTGTCAATTAAATGTATTTATATTTATACAAAATTATAAATTTATTTTGTTTCAGCAAGCTTATTATTGGGATGAGGCCATTCATGACCAAGTCTACGCCGCTTAGAGGCTCGTCGTCCGAAATCGCCTCAAGGACAGCATTTATCGGGTAAAGTGCAGACGCATAAGACCTCCGTGGATGTCGACGGCTATCTACGGTCAGCTCGTCGCACATTGGGATTCAGAAGAAGGAACGGAGAAGAGTCAAATCTTCTCAAAAATCGACGATCCCGACCGGAGATCGAA